AGTGTTGTCGATTGATATTTGCTATTTGAAAGATATCATTCAATAAATAGGAAAAATATATTATTTCTGACATATATCTGGTCATTTTATGTTCAAACTCTCTCGTCCATGGGTCATTACTTGATGTAAAAATGGTTGTATCCATCGAAAAACAAGTAAAATTGGTTATTTCTGATGAATATATTATATATGGTTATTTCATTTTGACTTAGAAAGATACATAGTGACTTTAGAAGAATGACAATTTTTTACTAGTTTACCTTCAATAAAATTTGAAGTGCTATTTTTTTTTTAATATTACTCCCACAAAATTGAGGGAGTTACATAAGTCATCATGGCAAAGACAAAATGGTACACTAGCACGCGCATAAGTTGCACGAAAATCCCTTTAGTTTCATATCAATTAGTACATCATTCAAAAGTGGGCTACAAGTCTTGTTATGGGCACATTTCATGACTCTAACTTGTCAAAAAAAAAAAGGGAAGATTGTGACAATTTTAACCTTTGATGTCTATGTGTAAATCGTGATTCGATCAGATCGTAATTTGCAAAACAAACTCGGAATTTACCGTAGCCATCAAAATCACGATGTCTGTTTTGTGCTGCCTTGAATTGGATTCATTCATTCTGATAAAATGATCAAGTTTCTGGATGCTGAAGTTTTTATTTTAACAACAGAATGATAGTAATTGAACAAAAGTAAGTTAGAAGAAAAAAGTTTCGAACTCACAACTTGATTTTGAGTTTCTGAGTCGAGTTATGCTAATCGAAATTTTCTAATAGTTACGCGACACTTATACAATTCATAATATGTGTTATTGAACTATTGATGTCCATTATACTAAACCATGATATACCCATATACATGCATTTCAAATAACATAATTATTCATAAGCCATATGCTTGCTTAGTGTGATGCAAATGTATCATGATGCCAACCCCACCAAATATGCGAGAAATGGGTCGGGTTAAAAGTGAAAATTATTTCACTTTTAGCCCGACCTATTTTGCTTATTACATTGGCAAAATGGGTCGGGCTAAAAGCCAACGACCTGTTTGGGGTTGAAGATTGAAAAGAGAAAAGTATTAATAAATAAATAAATAAATTGTTTTGGGTGTTTGCTAAAAGGGGCTTCACTTCACTATAAACCAAAAACATTGGGCTGGAAATATCACAACTTTTTTTTCTTGAAAAAAAGTGGTCAATGTTGTATGCTACTTTTAATTTGTCCACTAAGTTTCAAAAGACACATTCAAACTCAAAAGTCCAGACAATACCTACAAGGATGTGTATATTGTAACAATTTGATTTTTTTATTTTTATTTTTGAAAAATAGAATATTATTGATCTACTTGATAAATCTCAATTTTAGAATATCTCTTACTAAGAGTAAGTGCGGATAAATCTTTGTGATGAGGAAAAAATAAAACTTTGTGATGAGATTTGAATGTGGCTTTTGTAAATTTTAATAAGTGAAATAATTAGGCCCATTTGGCCCAATTAAATTAAAAAACTATGGAGTCCAATGGGCTCATTTTCTTAAGGCCGAGGCCTTGGGTCATCTTGTCATCAAATTAATTATTGGGTTACTAAAATTTTACAAAATATGCATATATTACTTTTCTTCTATTATATAAGTAGAAAAATAAAATTAAATAATTTCTATACAATTTTTATACTTCAAAATATAAGGGAAATGCTAAGAACCCGTTACGGAACCATTCTGTTAGGGTTTATAACCGTTAGATCATCAACCATCAGAGATAGTTGGTCTAACGATTAATTCCCGACGAAATGATTCCATAACTAGATTATAGTATCTTCCCAAAATATAATTCATATGATGAACACTCACCACATAAATATATATTCGAAATGTCCAAAATATAAAATGGTCGATCAAGTAGTTTGACCAGTCAAACTACTTTCATGTTAATATCGAAACAGGGAGCCTATCAAAACAATGATGAATATAAACAAAACAATATATATATATAATTTGTCGACAAAACATACCCAAAAAAAAAAAAAAAAAATCCAATTTCCTTCAATTCACCTTGATCAACATGCAACAAAACCAAATCAAATTAATCAAAATAAATTAAACAACAATTAATCAATATATATATCATCAGCCACCAATTGTCCCTATACTACCACCAACACTTTCCTTCTCATCCAACCCAAACAACCCTTCCCTCTTAATCTTCTCCTCCTTGGCCTTCCTACAAAAAACCACCCATGAATTCACCTCAAGCGCTATACAAACCCCAACCAAACTCGACAAACACAAGCTATACCCCAACTTCGCGTACGAGGACCACCACGACTCACCTAACGCCTCCAGCCCCTGAAAACAGTTCACTACCCCCAAAACGACACACGCGTACCCCACGAAGTGGTGGTACGACTTCCAATACCTTCGAAACCTATGAGTCGTCTTCGGCCGAAAGAGTAGCGCCATTGTCTGCAGCCACCCGAGGCAGAACACCGCAAACCCTAGCTTCCGGTGCAGCCCGTAGGCCTGACCCGACCTGATCTGACCCAGCCTGATCCCGAGCCCAAACCCGACCGTCCCGACAAACACCCCTATCAACTGTACCCCTGCGTGCAAATAGAACCACGCGGGCCCCACGGCCCGTACGGGCCTTAGGTACCGGGCCAGAACCGCGCCCGTCGGAAGTAGCAACCCCCACGAGATCGAATTCGTGATCCCATGCGCGTACTTTAGTAGCGGCGGCGGAGGAGACGCATGGGCCCCTCCCTCGGAGGCGGTGAGGAGGTTGAGGGTCGTCGCAGATGAGAGGTCGTCCGGCGAAGTCGGGTGCATCGCGGGTGAGTAGCCTTGCACGTAGAGGCCGCGGTTCCAGACGAGGTAGATTTTGGTCCGGTTGGGGACGAGCTTTAACGAGGCGCGGATTTCGATGGCGGCGCCGGAGTGGACTGTTGCCATCCGGCCGCCGTACAAGGTGGCAAAGGACGAGAGGAGGTGGAGGTCGGGGAGGGGTCGGGAGAGGAGCGGGCCCCGTTGGAGCTTGACGGGCGGGTCGAGGATATAAGGGAGGAGGACAAGTTGGCCCGAGTTTGGGTCGGGGAAGGAGATGAGTACCCGAGAGCCCGACATCTCGGGGGAATTAGGGTTGAGCCCGAACCCGACCCAGCCGGAGGGGGAGATGAAGGAGCCGAAGAAGGCGAGGTCGAGGGTCGAGTTGTGCGGGTGGTAGGACCACGCGAAGGAGGCGCCTTGGCTCGGGAGGGGCGAACACTTGTTGTAGGTTCGGGAGGATGAAGTGGTCGGGCAGTGGGCCGGGTCAACCCGGTTGGGGTGGGTGGACATGAAGATGAGGAAGAGGAAGAGAGTGTGCATAGCTAAGCTATAGTTAATTCCTTTTCTTTTGGTCTCTAGAATGTGTGTTTGTGTGTGAGGAGGGTAAGTATTAATGGAGAAAATATTGGTTGTGGGTTTAGAGGTGTGTGGTTAGTTGGATGAGTTTATTTGGATTGATCATGAGATGGGCTTTTAGGGGTTGCATGCCTTTGAAGAAAGGCAATGTGTTTGGTTTTTGATGATTGCTTGAGTTGCTTTAGTGAGATCATTGTCAAATTTTGTTGATTGTGTTTTGCGGAACTTTGTGTGTGGGTGTGTGTGTTGATTGGATATGTGTGGAAAGTGAGGTTTGTTGCATGATTATTAACTTTGCTTTGAAGCCAAGATAAAATCGAGTGAGGTTGATTTTCAAACGTAGGAAATGGTCCACAATGAATTATTACAGTTCTGATAGTGTCATAAAATTTAGTCATGTCTTTCATCTCAATTAGTTTAGCAAGTGTCACACTCACTTGAAGCGGGTTGATAAAGTTGGGCCACGATTGTTGACCCAAATGGGCCATAGAATGTACGAGTTGGGTCGGGGCCTATCTCAAGGGGTGCTTGTAACTTGATTTCTCAATTTTGAGAGATTAATCTCTAGCAACAAGTGACAAGTAACGAATCGAGGGTTTATAAGTCGGTGTTTGACAGCTCAAGTTTAACAGAACTTGAGTTCAGTCGCGACCACCCCGAATTAATTCAAGCTTGAGTTTGTGGTTAGTAAGTTCGATTGTTTGACGAGTCTCTTGAATATTATACGTAAAATTATATAAATACCCACAACTTAACATGTCTTGTATAAATTTCAAAGCGATCTCGAGCAAAATGTGAGTCGACTTTGAGCTTTTTCATTTTTGGTTGTGTCGAGTTAAACCTAAAAATATTGAACTTGTCGGGTTTGAGCATTAGCCAGTGGTAAAAAAGTCGTGTCTATGTCAATAAAAACAAGTTCAACTTGACTCGACTCGACTCGACTCATTTGCAGCCTAGTGACATAAGAGAAGCAATTGCTGATAAAATTTTCTATTTTTAATGTTATTCTTTACATTTTTTTACATTGAAGTGACATATTCAAAGAAATGATACACGAACTTTAAATATTGACTTGTCATATAACAAAAATGACGAGACTGTTACACTATATAATAACGTACTTTTTAATATATTATATTGTTGTTTTTTCTAATTAAAATTCACATGAGAAAAAATATCTCCGCAATTTTTCTAAAAGAATAAATAAGTTAATTAAAAATAAACATTTGTCTTATGTATATAAGAATGTTTAACAATTCATAATCTTTTGCTAAATGGAGGTACACACAAGAAAAGTATACTAATAGATAGTTTTATTTTACAAATGCAATAGTCATATTTAAAATTTAAAGACATTTCGATTCATAAAATTTATATATTTTTTTAAAAGCATACTTTGACTTGTTTATTTATAAATCGAATTATTATTCGAGTTGAGTAATTCATGTTCGAACTTATGCGCATTTCATAAACAAGATGGCGTGACTCAACTCATTTAATAAACTAACAAAACTGTGAGCTCGAGTTCAACTTCTATAAACTTAGTTCAACTCATTTAATAAACCTTACAACCTAGCCAACTCTCTGAACTCTAACAAAATTAATCGCAAACACGCTCGATTTGATTGTTTTTACAGACAAAATCTGTTACTTTTCAACATTGGATCGTTTAAATATACAAGCTAGTCGAGCTTGAGTTATCACAAATCAATCCAAAACTATATTAGATTCGAATAACATAGCTACATTTTACAATCCCATGAAAAAAAATTATGGCTATGCCCCTGTCTACATTATTTGTTGATATTACTTTGCACCTATAGTTCGGTTTCTTCTTTTCTAACTGAAGAATGTGTTCTACGATTAAAAAAAAGTGTAATACGTATACAGGAAAAGAAATGATTCTTTCATGAATAAATGAACAATGAATTTCATGAATTAATAATAATTGATTTTTAATTTTAATTCTTTATTTAAAAAATGTTGATAGTGAAATTAGAATTAGATAATATAATATGGATGAATTGATTTCAGATTGTACACTAAAAACCCGACTTTTCATTGCTCCATAAATCGCTTTTCATACCCTAGCGACATCAGACTTTGTCTCACCACTATTGAATAATGTCCTATCCAAATTCCGTCGTCGGCAAACGTTTTCTTGGTGGTGATTTTTCGCCTGAGGACCAAATAAAAAGAAAATAGTTGAAAAAAAGAGCTCACAACCTGTTTGATGAAATGTCGCAGTGTCTGAGATTGCGGCCTCCATGGGCGCACCATTTCAATGAGCTTTCCCGTGTTCAATGCGCGAAACCCAGAAAGGTCTGCCGGCTCACCGTCCGCAGTTGCTCCTCAGCTCCTCAAAATACTCGCAAGGTATTGTCTTTCTCATGCCTTTTGTGTGTAATTTTTGTTTTGATTTATTGTCCACAGGTGATTTATGTTGTTTATGTTACTGTAATGTTTTTGTTTGGGTGGGATTTTTTTTTTTATTTTTTTTGTATCCCTTCAGTTTCATCTCCATAGAACGGCTAGGTTTTACGTTGGCTCGCCAAGCCTATCACAACCCTCCTCCTTCACAACCCTCCCTTCACTTGTATTTTTTATCATTTACTGAGGAGTTCTTGAGGGCATGTCACAGAAAATTGTGAAATATGAATTTGTTTCAATTTTCAATTATTTTTATCCATCTGAAGAGAAGGGCTCAGCAAAAGTCGTATTCTTTTCGCATTTTGTATTGTTCGTTATGATCCTGCTGAAGTTAGAATTGTAAGTTGTTGGAATCATAGTGATACAATTACAGTTTGATGAAATCAAATTGGTTGATGAGCTCTTTCATGATGCAGTTAGTTGCAGAGGTTAAAGAAAAGCTCGAAAAAGAACATAATAATCTCCCAATTGGGAAGTACGGAAGAGATGACGAGGAGATGATCCTTTGGTTTTTGAAGGATCGAAGGTTTTCAGTTGACGAGGCTGTCTCGAAATTGACCAAAGCCATTGTAACAATTATAATAACTTCATAGCATCTAGTTTCCATTTGAGAGTATTTTCCTTTTTTTTTTTTTGCGCTTTCTCTTATTGCACTCTATATCAGGTTTGAGCTTAAGGCTTTTCTTAACTGCCCTCGAATAACCTTTTTCTTGATTTGCATTCACTGTGGATTTAATTTATCTTCTACTTAAACAGAGATGGCGAAAGGAATTTGGCGTATCGGGTTTATCAGAAGAATCAGTTTCTCGCTCGGCAAAAACTGGTAAAGCTTATCTGC